GGCCCCTCACTGGGACTCCTCTTGGATATACTGTTGTTGCCCTGTGTTGTGGAGATCCTGCAGCTTTGGGTCTGTGGGTCAGGTTCCTTCATGTGCTCCAGCCAATCATACATGGGATGGATGTTGAGGCAGGTCAAGTCATAACCCTAGTTCTAGGCCTGGACAGCTGCAGGGTTGGTCCACCCACCAGTTTTCCACTGTCTTCACCACCAGGGTAAGGTCTCCATTATTGCCCCAGCTAATTCACCTCTTGCAGAAATGAGCCAGGGGCGGGGCCAGTTCTCCTACTTTCATGTCTTTAGGATGGGCTCTCCCACACCTCCACCTTCGGGGCCAGCTCTACTGTGTTGCCCAGGTGAGGTACAGGGGCCACTCTCATGGGTGTAGCAGCTGGTGAGGGGCAGGGACAGCTCTCCCTCTCTTAAGACCCCATGTCAGTTCTTCCACCTGTCTTGGGTATTGATGGGCAGGGGCTGAGGAGGAGGGCATCTCTTCTCTTCCCAGCTGTCACATGTCAGATGAATAATGGGGACAGTTCTCCTTTGCTTGCAAACTCAGGGCTGGATCACCCTTACCTCCAACTACCTGGCCAGCTCTGCTGTGCTGTCTAGATAAGGAGAAGCGACCATTTTCCTGAATTCTACAGCTGGAAGGGAAAGGGTCAGCTCTCTCATCTGCTGCAGGTCGTAAGGGGCAGGGGGTTCTCCCCCACCCACACCAGTTTGTGACAAAGTATTGGGGACAGCTCTCTCATGCTCACAACTTTGGGCTTGGCTCACCCTCACCTCTGCCAGCATGATTGGCTCCATTATGTTGCCCAAGCAAAGTGCATGGCCTACTCTCCCAGCTGTTGCTTGGGAGAGGCTTGAGGACCTATGATATATGTATCATTGGGTTTCCTATTCCTCTGTTTAATATTGATAGTTTATCTCTTAATTGAGAAAAGTTGTGTGTTAGGCATATTTTTACCAGTTCATAAGAAATAAATATTAATTTAAAAAAACATGTCTTTAGGTATAGTGGAAGAATACCAACTTCCCTATCATGACCTTGTGCCCAGTGACCCTTCTTATGAAGACATGAGAGAAATCGTGTGCATTAAGAAATTACGACCTTCCTTCCCCAATAGGTGGAGTAGTGATGAGGTAAGACCAGCCTTGGGGGAGGGTATGGATGATGTCTAAATATACTTCTGTTTTGCCAGAATTCTTTTTCTCTTTCCTTTTTATTTATTCTATGTGTCTTTTAAATCATTTATCTTGATTGCATTCATGTCCCTGTTCCTTCCATCCACCTTCCACACACACCCCCAATAAAGAAAAATTTAAGAGAAAGGGAATGATTAAAAATCTCATCAAAGAAGCTGAAGTGAGACACATCAGATCAAGCAGTAAACAGCTTTTGTCTGTGTACCTTTACTTGCAAGCGTTCGTTGCAAAGAGCCATTGGTCTGGTTCGAGGTTTCTGCTATACTGTTGATGCTGGACCCTCACTGGGACTCCTCTTGGATATACTGTTGTTGCCCTGTGTTGTGGAGATCCTGCAGCTTTGGGTCTGTGGGTCAGGTTCCTTCATGTGCTCCAGCCAATCATACATGGGATGGATGTTGAGGCAGGTCAAGTCATAACCCTAGTTCTAGGCCTGGACAGCTGCAGGGTTGGTCCACCCACCAGTTTTCCACTGTCTTCACCACCAGGGTAAGGTCTCCATTATTGCCCCAGCTAATTCACCTCTTGCAGAAATGAGCCAGGGGCGGGGCCAGTTCTCCTACTTTCATGTCTTTAGGATGGGCTCTCCCACACCTCCACCTTCGGGGCCAGCTCTACTGTGTTGCCCAGGTGAGGTACAGGGGCCACTCTCATGGGTGTAGCAGCTGGTGAGGGGCAGGGACAGCTCTCCCTCTCTTAAGACCCCATGTCAGTTCTTCCACCTGTCTTGGGTATTGATGGGCAGGGGCTGAGGAGGAGGGCATCTCTTCTCTTCCCAGCTGTCACATGTCAGATGAATAATGGGGACAGTTCTCCTTTGCTTGCAAACTCAGGGCTGGATCACCCTTACCTCCAACTACCTGGCCAGCTCTGCTGTGCTGTCTAGATAAGGAGAAGCGACCATTTTCCTGAATTCTACAGCTGGAAGGGAAAGGGTCAGCTCTCTCATCTGCTGCAGGTCGTAAGGGGCAGGGGGTTCTCCCCCACCCACACCAGTTTGTGACAAAGTATTGGGGACAGCTCTCTCATGCTCACAACTTTGGGCTTGGCTCACCCTCACCTCTGCCAGCATGATTGGCTCCATTATGTTGCCCAAGCAAAGTGCATGGCCTACTCTCCCAAGTATTATGGCTAGTGGGGGTCAGTGACAGCTCTCCCATCAGGCATTGATGGGTGGGAGGAAGGCAACTCTCCCCCACCCATGCCTTCACAACACAGCTGAGTAATAGGGACAGTTTCCCCATGCTCACAACTTCAGGGCTGGCTCACCAAACCTTCCACTAACAGGGTTGGCTCTATTGCACTGCCCTGATGAGGTGCAGGGCCTGCTCTCCCAAGTGTTGCAGCTGGTGGAGGTCAGGAGGCAGGGATAGCTCTGCCACTCTTATGAACAAAAGGCCAACTCTTCCACCTTCCTCAGGCATTGATGGGTGGAGGGTGAAGGAAGGGCATCTCCCCCCAGTTTATGCTACCATATGGCAGATGAGAACTGGTTGCCAAAATTCTTAATTTACATCACTGAAATTGATTTTGATGGTTAACAGTACTGCCATCTCATTGAAATATTTGTATACCTGCACTGCATCAGATCTATTCCCTTTTTTATTTTTCCAATTATACAACATAGTGAATGGTCAAGATTGAGGCTGCGTAACGCAGGTCATTATTTCACATACCAGCTGTGATATGTGAAGAGAGGCTATTGTTTCTTTCTGTGTGTTTTAAAGCACCGTGATTTTCTCTCTTCATGGTAAGTCCATACCCTTCTTTCTGGAGTTTTGGTAAACAACAGAAGGTTGGGGTTTCTATACAGTAACATGATACAAGTGCACTCTGCTGACTGTCCTCTCAGTGCTGACCTCTTCAACAACAAAAATGCTCAGGTCTTGGGGTCAAGAGAGATGGCTCACTAGCTAAGAGGGCACACTCCTTTAGAAGTTGACCTGATCTTGGTTCCTAACTCACAACAGACTGTAACTGTACTCCAGGCAATCTGGTGCCATTTTCTGGATTTTGTGCACTCATAGATGTGTGTACCTGTGCAAGCACATACACAATACACATTTAAAAACGAAAATATTTTTATTTTTGAAATTGAAGTGTAATTCCATCGTTTCCCCTTCTCTTTCCTCCTACAACCCTTCCCATGTACCCCCCTGCTCTCTCTCAAATTCATAGCCTCCATTTCTTTATTGTTTTACACACACACGCACATGCACACGCACATGCATGTGTGAGTGTATATGTGTGTTCCTAACTATATAAATACAATCTGCTTTGGCTATATAAAGTTACTTTGATGTATATGATTGTAGGGCTAACAATGATGAGAGCAAGAATAGTTGTTCTCAGAGAAGAGCCCCTAAATTGGTTATCCAATAGTGTTTCTCTGTGTGTATTAAATTGAATCCCAAGGGGTTATTTGCTCTAATGTGTTTACTGTAAGGGTTTAAATGTGAACCCCACATGTGTGTGGCAGGCTTTGTGAGGCTGGATCAAGGGAGTGGAACAGACCTGGACTCCAGCCTTGTTTTACTGCTCCAGTGTCTCTCCTCCCACCTGTCTGCCTTCACTCATCCCCAGCTGAGTCTCTGGCATGTTGAAAATTCAGGAAGAGTTTGAAGCACATTTAGATGAAGACAACTCTTATTAGACATGTTCTGAGCCCATCAAAAAGAGGTGCATAGAGAGAGCACTGTTCATAAAGTAAGGTGTCTGGAAATTCAGGAAGAGTTTGAAGCACATTTAGATAAAGACAACTCTTATTAGACATGTTCTGAGCCTATCAAAAAGAGGTGCATAGAGAGAGCACTGTTCATAAAGTAAGGTGTCTGTGTAAAGTCACTTAAAGTAACTGGCTCATCGGCCTGGTGTGTCATTTTTGCATTGCTACTTAATATATGCCTTCCAATAAGGTGTGCAGAGAGCATTGTGAGATGCTGGAGTTACAGTCTTTTGAAGGAAACTCTGGGTATCAGTGTCTTTTAAAAGCTCTTTGCTGTTGATTTCTCATAAAAGGGAAATTGTGGTTTGCAGTAAGAATGATTGATAGAAAACAGGCAAATCCAGGGGAAAGTTTTAGCTATGCGCAGGTCATTAATTCTTGCTAAGTGGTACAGTGTTGTGCTACTGTTAGAGCAGACTGCAGTGATGTAGGGATAGCTGTGTTTATTTGAGCAGTGCAGAATCAGATAAAATACTGAAACATGTTATATGTTGTAAACAATTTGGGACTGTAGAAGAGAATTCAGACATACCAGGTATCATGTTCGCTTAATAGTATCTTTGAAGTCATCCTTCGATATCCTCAAAGCTTCTCTTTTTTCTCTTGTCACAGGGAGATATGAGAATCTGTGTGAGTCATCATTTCACACACACTAAAAAGAGTTTGAGTGAAATTTTGTGTCCATATTTTACTGGTGCCTTAAAAATATATTCAGACTTCATGAACACCAGCTAAGAGCCAAATATTGAGCACCTTGAAAGTACATTCTTCTGACATCACTCCAATCTTCTTTCTCTTCCAGTGTCTCAGACAGATGGGGAAGCTTATGACAGAGTGCTGGGCTCACAATCCTGCCTCTAGGCTGACAGCCTTGCGAGTTAAGAAAACACTTGCCAAAATGTCAGAGTCCCAGGACATTAAGCTCTGACATGGGATACTTGTGGAATGAGCAAGAAATTATACAGAAGGATACATAGCCCAAGCCTTGAACGTTGTCCTGATGCCCAGTGGGTTCAGACCTCCCCTTTCAGGGAGCAAGCTGGACAGATATAGAAGGCCCCAAGAACACTGATTCATCATGGCTTTCTGAGGAGGGGAAACCTTTTGGGTAACTTGTTCAAGATATGACTCATGTTGCTTTCTAAGAAAGCCCTGTATTTTGGGATTGCCATTTTTTTTAAAAAAAGATACTTTAATTTTACCAAAATAAAAAAATATTGTAGATGTTTTAAGGTTTATACAGCTATAGTTTAAATTACAACAAAAGTTCTTTGTGGAAAATTTCCTAGAAGTCAAAATGTTTTTCCAATGGCAAAATACTTTTGCACTCTACAAACCAATACAATCTTGAGAACATAAATTACAATTCACCTTCCCTGCTTCGCTGCCCCAGCCACCTCAGACTGTTTGGGCAAGCCCTGCTGTGGCCTGCCAGTGCAGTGTGAATGTACATGCATACAGGTCCCACCTACTTGGGACCACAGTTTAGAATCCTGTAGGTGGAACTCTTGCAGCTTCAGCCAGCGTGGAACAAATGAAGGTTTTATGTCATTAATAGAAGTATGTGTTGGTGGGCATTCTTCAGAAACATGCCCGTTTCTGGTTGCAATGGGCAGCTCTTTCAGGTAAATCACCTCCTTTTCATTGAACACAAGCCAAGGTTTCCTCTTGTGCAGAGAATCAGCATGGGCATGCTTCAGTTCTTGAATCAGAAGATCAATATTAAATACAACCGACACGAGTGTGGTAGAGACAAGGTACTTTACAATACAAATGATTTGTGCTCGTGTTGCAAGAAAATGATGCCAATAAGGCAGGGCAGAAGTTGAGGATATAGATAGATGTCTTGTTCCTTTTATATGTGTATGAGCCAATTACAGAGACGTAGGGAAGTAGTATACACATGATAGTTTGTAGCCACATAGATAGTTTCATGCTGTTGTCGTGCCTACATCTTGGATTTAAGAAGTTAGAGGGGAAGCATCTGTCAGGTTAAAATCACTAAAATTCAATTTAAAAATAAGCTTCAGGTGGTTGGTTGAGCAGAGAGAAGTTAATGAAGGTCATCAAACATTATGGGTACTGTGATTTATTCTAGAATAGACATGGATCCGGAATAGACCTCTTATGTGATTATTTCACACCTTAGGTACAACTCATTCATTCTAATGTGCATTTCCCTATTAACTTATTCTGTTTCTCCATTGTGGCATGTGAACAAAAAATCTTCTGATTCAGCCGTATGTGGTTTTAATTTTTGGCTATATGAGCAAAGTCATTGACAAGCCAATATTCCTTAGAAACAGGACCACAGTAAAGTGGAAAATGCCACATGACCCTTGCAACTTTATCAATTTATTTCCTTGCTGTGTTTCTTCCTTAATGATTTGAAATTACTTACTGGTTATTAAGGAAAGTTAAAAGTACTTTGCCTCAGAAAATGACATTCCTTCCAGAATACTCCAGGGGGCAGTGTTTCCTACACATTTCACTACTGGGTACTTGAAAGATGGAGACGTTAAGAAAAAATGACAACTGCATGAGAAATGAGGAAATGTTTCATTCTCTTCTGGAGTAGGCATTCAGCTGGTACACTGTTCATCTGGAAAGATCCTGGAGCTACAGTGTCTGTCAGAGGTACTTGGAGTTTGGAAACACTGTAGAGAAATGCCCTTTCTGTTCTAATTCACTGCCTGGTACCACAGAACCATGTTTTGTTTTCCACTAAGAAAGAAGAATTTCTTGGTTCTTGAATTTGGAAAAAAAATACAACAATGCCTTGTTAATTTAACAGTCATCAGATTTTGTTCTTACTGAGGCCAGGATAAGCTGAGCAACTGAGGAGTCCTTTCTTTGTAAATTGTGTTTGCTACAGACAGTTTTGCCATGTATATATAAACTGGGTGAGGCAGTCATCTAGGCCTGGAAGGAAAAGCCTTAGTACCTGGACAGGTCTATCTAAAAACACCCAACTAAGCATTTTGCTAGTTAACTGGGTATGCTTTGATTTTTTTTCTGGGTTTTCCTTAGGTTTAAAACATGGATAATGTCAAATCAGAGTGTCTTGTGGTAAGGATGTTTATGACCTAAACTTTACTAGATACCTAGGGTTCCAGTAAAGAGTGGGGAGTAACGGTGCCCAGATTTCATCCACATCATTCATTTTATTGCTTTCAGAAAAATCAACAGCTTACTTTCTAATTATCAACCTTATTTATTCAATATGAAAATCTTGAAATTATTGAGATACTTTTAAAGATCCACTCAGTTGTTACCAGTTTTCAATGAAATAAGAATTTATAATTTATTTATGAATATAATTTCTGTCTTATGAAAACCTACTTAATAAAACTAAGTTGTTAAGGACTACCTGTTCACTTCCCAATAATCCATACTAACTTTTACATTTCTAGCTTATCAGAAGTGAAAGTTATTTTATCTTTTGCTTTGGCTTCCTGCAAATTAGTAATATGATTGACTGCTGCTTACCTTCAGGGCTATTTCAAAGAGTGAGATTTACTTCTAATTCCTCTCCCCTAAAGGAATCCTAAATTATTAATTGTTAGAAAAACTTTGTATGTTCAAATTTATGGTTGATATATGTGTGTATATATTATATAAATAAAGATGTATATGTAAATAATGTTCATTCTGGAGTCTGGCACAACTCTAGTATGTGGATTAGAGAGTAAAATATTATGGATGATGAAGTCCTAAATGAAACATAATATTTATTTATGGAAGCATGTACATTGTTAACTCACAAATGAAGAGCAATGAGCACCCTGTCTGACCTCTTGGACAACGTACCCCGAAATCTCTGCTGACCAGTCTTTATATTCCTCAAACAGAAAACTTCTTAGGTAACATGCTGGGATTTTAGATACAGGAAATTCTTTGACACATTTCAATTGGTGTGTAGTCAAGCATAACAAATACTTAATAATGATTGACTTCAATGTTCCTAGGTCATGCATGTTCATCAGGAATTTTATATTGTTCACCTGTTCTCATACTTCTTTGTGGATGGAAAGGCAGTAAGAAAAATACACTTTTGAAACAATTTGAACATGTCTTGGTGGTTTTACGACCTCTGAAAACCCAAGTCCCTAAAAAACAGTGGAAATGAAAGGGACTGCATAAAAATGATGCCATTTAATGATTGGAACTAATTGTTACACAAGCTAATGGTGTATTTTTTAAGAAAAAAGCTTGCAATTCCTAAAAAACAGTGGAAATGAAAGGGACTGCATAAAAATGATGCCGTTTAATGATTGGAATTAATTGTTACACAAGCTAATGGTGTATTTTTTAAGAAAAAAGCTTGCAATATATGGGAGGGGGTATTCTTTTCTGTCTATTTCAAAAGAAGACTCATTTGTGTTCTTTAGGGGGAACCAGTGCCTTATGGAATTTGTATATACTGTAATTATTCAGGGTTAGGGAACAAACAATTGTATTTGGTACAAATTGTGTATGACCTGTTTTCATATTTCCTTCAATAAATTGTGTCATTTTCCCAATAGAAACGCTAAGACTGTTATCTTGTAGTTGTGCCTTTTTTTGTCTTTCAAATGACTTCATGACAGCAAGTGGGAAGGCAACATTGGAGGAGGCAGAGCAGGTAAGTGCACGCTCTATTCATCAGGAGGGTAAGAGTGGACCAGTGCCTTCCACATTCTCTGTTCGGGAAACACAGTCATCTGGTGTGGGGTGGGTAGTTGGTGGCTAAGGAGAACTGAAGAAAGTGGAAAGTTTCACTGTGGAAAACTACAGCTTACCAGGGAAACAGCCAGCTGGCCGTGGGCAGTGCTGAGGACCAGTAGATGCTGCTAATACTAAATGTGGGGCAGCAGATCCCAGAGCTGCATGAGGACCAAGGCTCACTCTTGCATCAGTGCTGTGATAATAGGGTTCAGTTTGAACTTCTGAAGTCTCTTCTTCCCCTTGAAGATGAGACCAACAGTAGTACCTATTGCACAGAGTGTTTCTGAAGATGAAATAAAGTGTGTGCTCAGCCTATGGGAAGCACTCAGCTATTCTATTAGTTCATGGTGCCCCTTGTTTCTGTTGTTTGTGATTTTTTTTAAATCTCAGTCCAGATATAGGTACAGAGACAACATCTTAGGGTTTAATCAACAAGAAAAAGAATTATTATTATTAAAGGGCTATGTGCCCTGGCCCTCCAGAGTAGAGCATAAAACCCAGCTACTAAAGGGAAAGAAAACTGCAGCTGACCGTGCTTCTGTAACGTACTAGTGGTTACTGAGGAGGGGGTGTGACTGAAGTCCAGATTTTGAAGGGCAAGACTGAGGACAGGGTGTCATCTGAGGTGGTAGGCTTAAATTTGTGGACATGATTGTTGATGATGAAAGCCCAGATGCTAGGCTTCCAGGTTTGTTCTTATGAATTTTGAAATCATCAGGATGGTTGTAGCTTTGAGACAATTTGATATTCTTGAGCTCAAGAAGAGACCAAATTCTCCTAGGGCCATGAGATAATGAGTAAGAAGTCAATGTGGTTTAGATCTAGAGATGGACTTGAAGGACCTAAGCATTGGAAGGGCATGAAGTAATGGAGACAGTAAGGAAGCCTCAGGATGGTGTGAGAGAGACTGGCTCTTTCTGTGTGGGAAAGGGAGACCCTTGTTCTTGACTCAAAAGCCATGTCATGGAAGCAGTAATCCTTCTGCAAGGGGAAAGGGGGACCAAAGTTGCTCTTCCATTGAGTGTGAGTCTGAAGGGCAGGATGGGAAACTTGCCTAGGACTGTTTGTATTGGACAGTAAGAAAGGTTCATGACATAGTAACCATGATTGAAAGGCCTGATGTTTGGTATTTTAGTCTGTTGCACTTGTGCTAAGGGAATATGCACAGATATGTGGGATTCAGATTAACTTAGCTCTATTCCCTCACTTTGATGATACTTCGGGAATGTGTAATATATCCTAATGTTTTCACCTGTACCTTGAGATAAAATGCCCCCTGTATACTCTTATTAGAATAGCCACTTGTGATGGGGGCCCTTCTTTTCTGACAGCTTTGGTAGATGTACAGCTAACAACAGTTCAAAGCCCAAGGAGGCTTGCTTTCTATTCTCCAACTTCTGCCTGTTATGGTTCAAGCCAAGCTTCTCACAGGACTCAAAGGCAAGTATCAAAACGGGGCCCAGTAATGGGTTCTTCTCTTTTTGTGGGTCACTTTATATGTGTCAGGTTTATTTTCTCATCTGAAATAGCACCAAAGTACAGAAGTCTCCTCATTCAGGAGAACCATCTGTACTTAATACAGATAGGAGTAACTATGCCTACTCAAGTTTCTGATGTTTACCCGGTCAGAAACTCCCTGGAACTGAGGAAGATTCTTTACCTGCTACTATACTGAGGATGGATTCAGGGCCAGGTCAATCTCAGGACTGT